AGCCCGCATGGCTGGACCATTTTGGGCGGGTTTGGGCACAAAAATTTCGGCCCAAAACTTGGCCCGACCCGATAAGTGAGCTGTTTTTTTAACCTTGGCCCGGCCCGCCCAATGATCATCTCTATCTTTGTCAAACACAAGAATGTTCTTTTTTGTCAAATATAATGTTCTTTTTTCAAACACGTTAAACCACCCGAGTAACCATGAAAAATAACATGTTCTTTTTGTAAAGACTTTATGTTCTTTGTAATGTCATGTTCTTGTCAAACACAAATATGTTCTTTTGTCAAACACATGTATGTTCTTTTTCAAACACTAGAATATTCTTTAATTTTTTGGCCCATATTCTTTAAAATATGTCTAATGTTCTTTCCAGCAAGATGCACCCGGGTGCACTATACTATTTTCATTTCCACCATTGTGTAAGGATAATGAAGTGTGAGTTGAAATCAAAAGAATAATATTCCATGCATGTATATGGTTGGTGACATGTACTAACAAAAACATTAGAATTATTAACATGCTGAATGAGTGGAGAAGAAGAGTCTAATACTCTAATGGCTCAACTAATACGACTAAGACTCCCCAATATGTATAAATAAAAACTTTGTATCAGGGATGGTGTTAATGTTAAATTAGTTAGATTAATTGGTAATAATGTTTTAGTTTGGCAAGCGGTTTGTAGCTTAAACTTAAAGATCAAAAAACATTTTGCGTGAGAATTGACTCAACGCGAGTTCAATATATCTAACATTAATAATCTAATATCTGACATTATATTATTAGACATTTGACATTAATAATTTAATATCTGACATTAATAATCTAATAATCTAATGCCAAATATTAGATTATTAATGTCAGATATATTCGACCCACCCAATTTTTTTTTATTTTTTTTTCATAAGATCAAATCTCAGCTCACACTTGTGTGACTTTTCTTTGTGGCTTTTCATATGACTTTTTATATGACTTTTTATATGGTTCTACATGTCCACCATACCAAACTTTAGTGTTTATCTCTTTAATTCTTGATAAAAGATCAATACGGAGTAGTACATATCATGAGAGAATTAATAATCTGTTTTTACTAAATTTACGTCTGAGCTGTCTTATTTCAAGATATTCAAATAGAAATTTACTTATTATAGAGGGATACATGGAATGTTAATTTAAGTTTGGTGCCTAACAACACAAAAGAAAACAAATTAAACTTTTCTCATCATAATTACTTAACCTAATTTTTATTGGTAAATAAGCATAGAATAGAAGGAGAGGTTACTAATACTCCCTCAATTAAATACTTAGCTTATTGCAATCATATGACTCACATACTAAAATATAAAAATCAAATGTTATTATTGTGTAATTTGATGTATACAAATACTCATCATATCAATTAATCAATACAAAAGACATTGCATATGTTTGCACTCGAATTTGATCATTAACAAATATGTCGGTTAAACAGTTGCAATAACTATGAAATAGGGAAATATTTTAAAAATTGTAGGATTATCAAATAAGCTAACCAAAGAAAAATAATGTTGAAGTTTGAGTGGCAACAATTCTGATAAGTTGCAACATAAAACCAAAAGAAATCAAATCTATATAGATGGGAATTGTCGTAATGAGTACATACTACATCATTAGGGTTGAAGAATTATATAGTTTTGCCCTCCAAGCAATAACCTTTTTGGCCCTCCTAATCTTCCATTTTTTTTTTCCAATGATATTATCTTTTTCAAAGAACCCTCTTTAATTTTAACATTTTTTTTAGCAAAAATTCTTCACTTTTTATTTTCATATTTATTGGTCAAAGTTATGGGGCTCAACATCATTAGAAAATCAACTACTATTACTACTACTTGAAAGTATGAAATATCTCATCATAATGAGCTAGGTTGTCTATGGCTGACCTCATTAATTGGTAATCATGTTTTTTTTCTTCACTTGCATGACTCTTAAATATAGGATTAATTAGCTTCTTTTACCTTAAATATATAAAACGGTTTACTGTTATATACTCTCCTTACTTGTCTTTACAAGGTTTTGTGCATACTTTTGACTTTTTTATGTGACAATCATCGTTAAATATATAAGGGACAATGAAAAGATATGATCGACGGGAAGTTCTTTTCAACAAGCATATATTTGTCATTTTCTTAGTCAAGATTCTACCATGGAAAACAAGTTATGTTTTAAAGATAAGATGATTAGTCTTTAATAATGGTTTGTGAGACCAATTTTTGTACCACTCAAGTTGAGATGAATGAGAACGAGTTGAAACTATGAGATAATATATCACTAATTCACTATCTATTTATTTGTTTCAATAAATAAAATGAGATGACAAGTATTGGTTTGGATGATTTCGAATCTGTTTTTGAAATTTGGATGATCATGTGGACTAATAGTTTCTATGTCATTGCTTGTTAAACTGTTAAATTAAAGAATCCATTGCAACAAATGCCAATTATAAAGAAAATTTCGGTTAATCCATGATCATGGCTTGCCAAATCATGGATTAATTTGCTTCAACTAACATAAATTCATCATTTCAAATCTAGATTTTTAGGAATTGACATGATGCCAAACTTCGATAACCAACCCCTACAATTATGCTTCCATTTACATATTAGATTGAAACCTTGATTTTTGTCACCTTTTTATTTTCTTTATTTGAACCATTTATTAATTATCGAGGACTACACAAATTGTTATTCTATGTACCCGTACTACTACATGAGAACATATTATATTCCCGTTTGGAAAAGCATGTTCGGAGTAGTGATGTGTGTTATTATATTATGTAGTCCCTCTTGTAAGTTGCTCCAAGAGTCCAAGCACCTTTGAGTTTAAGGACGACAGGTTGCACGACTATTCACGATTGTACTTGCATTCTTTATTTTGTGTTTGTGCATAGTATGGCCCTTACCCACATTGGATGTCCAACGTTGGACCTGCCCTTTGAACATGTATCTATTGAGTCCTTACAAATAAGGCCCTACAATGTCTTTGTTGTTCACGCAAAAGGCCATAAATCGACGAATTACGTTTGTAATTACACCCTTAATTAATTTATCGATTATGGATTGAATATGTGATATATATATACTCAATACGATAACTTTGTTTTTAGAAAGAGAATTATAATATATTTAAGGCTGACATAAACTCAATCACAGACATTAACGAATATAAGTTCTTACTATAAATTTTTTAAACAAAAATATACGTACGAAAACGTATCTAGTAAGACGAGAGGTGATAATTCCGGCAAGAACAAACATTATAGGGGAATTTGTTGAATGTGCTAACTAAAAGAAGGGGGCCAATACTATTGGATATGACAATTGCTAATTATTCTAAACACAAAAACTTTTACGTAAAAATAATGATGTTGCTTAGTATTCTATTAAACACAATCGCTTTCATTAAAGATAATCTAATGATAATAATTAAAGAGATTCCTAATGGTGAAAAATTATAAATACATGTAATGCGATATAAGGTAGTCAGATCAAATGGCCCTAAAAATAGTTTGTAACACTATACTATATATGATTATGTATCAAATTATTAAAACCTTTAGTGGGTTTATGAACTGGTGACAACCATGGGGTCATCATTTTGGAACAAAATCTCAAGTCACAACCAAATTTGTGAGTTTGTGACATTGACAATCAAACTAAGCTACTATTCTAAATTCTATTACCTTGGACCGTTCCAAGTACTTGGTGTAACTGTTTAAGTGTAACCTCTATATATATAACCTTGATTGACCAACTTCTCATATGCTTCTTAGTCAAGAGTTCAATGATATTTTGACTAGCTAGGCTTAAGTTAAACCTATTAGCTGCTTGTAGTAATGAGAAATCATCACTTGGTTTTATAGCAATAGTAAAAGTTGGGATCGGTATGTGCAAAATCTGTTGTATACACGAGTGTACCCTACTAGAGGAGTTTGTAGCTGCTAGTATAGTAATAGGTGTAATTTATGATCATTTACAAAATGCATATATAACGTGACATGTTTGTATTATATTGTAGAAGATAAAAGTGGTACCGTCATCCAATTAAATAACAACAATTATATAGTGTAATGATAGTAATACTAATATAATGCAGATGATTATAATGATACTTACATGATGCGGTTCTCACCATAGATTTATCTCTCTTTTTCTACGGAGTATGTCTTTTTATTAGCTAACGAGCCCCAATCCCACCACCTTTTAACTTCATCTCTCTCTCTTTCTCTCGGCTCCCACCACAATTTTAGCTCTATACCATCAACTTATTTAAGCTTAATTGAACATAACCTTAGTTTTAAATATTAACAAATACTAGCAATAATTATTTAAGTTTATTACAATCCTAAAGTTGGTCAAATAAACTACTCTTTATCTAGGGTTCTAAGAAATTCACTAAGCAATTAATTGTTCCAATGTTCTTATTGATCAGTTTACACATTTAAGTACATATTATATAGCAATTATTTCCTTTAACACTTTACTACGGATTAACTAAACAATAAGCTAGTCAAACCATCATTAAGGTCTATATTTACCTTTTTTTACATCGATTTATATTTACATTTAGTTTTACGTTATACACCAAAGTATACTTATACTTTCACACACATCATGATTATGGCTTATGCAATGTGCCAAGTGTGTATCTCACGCGCCCAAAAACATTCCTTAACCACATTTTATATTCTCGTATTATTTTCAACAAATTTATGTACACTCGAGGAATATAATAGACAAAATAAGGATGATCACGACCACAACCACAACCACGACCACGACCACGAGTCACGATGGTGTGTTTAGTAGCCCATAAAATTTCAACACACAAAAGAAGAAGCCCAAAAGATAAGAATTAAACCAAGACCCGAAACAATTGGGCCAATTAAGTATTAAAATCCCTAACCTCACTAGAGAAGACTAGAACCTTCTAATTTGTTGACTAAAAGGGCATTTCTGCAATTTATGCCTGATTATTCATAAACCCTATTCTCTTTCATAAACCCTAGTGAACTAATTTAGGGTTTTTCTCCCGTCTATTTCACCTTCCTCTTTCTTGTGATTTTTCTGGAAAAAATGGCGAAGCGTTTGATGCCATTGTTGAACAGAGTTTTGGTAGAGAAGATTGTTCCTCCTGCCAAGACTCATGCCGGAATTTTACTCCCTGAGACCAGCAACAAGGTATCAATTTCCTTCAATATTTCTGTTAATTTTTACTCAAATTTATATTTCGTTATTGTTTTCTGCTTTCATATGACTAGTTTATGGGGGAAATTGCTGTAAAAATGTATTTTTTTGCTTGATTTTGTAATGGGTATGTTGCAAATTGGTAGATTTGTTATCTATCTGCTTAGATTTTATATGAAATGCGAAGAAAATTAATGGGTTCATCTTATTTTAGATTAAAATTGTGCTACATTATTGGGTTTTATGATTCTGATCGACTTTATTGTTGATTAAAATATCTGCTGATTACAATGGCAGTATGTTCTGCTATTCATCTGAATTATTGTGATTTGTGAGATGTTGGGGTTATTATGCAAATTAATTGTATGTTTGTTCTTCATAGGTTGATTGAGTATTATTTCCAAGCTGTTGGCTGTGAAATTTGTTTATGATGCTTTATTTTGGGGAGTATGGTTTTTATTAATTGAATCAGTTCAAGGATTTATTACTGAATTTTGTTGCTTGGATCCGATTTCAGCTGGATTCTGGCAAAGTTCTTGCTGTTGGACCTGGTCTTCGTGACAAGACGGGGAATCATATTCCTGTTGCTGTCAAAGAAGGGGATACTGTACTCCTTCCTGAATACGGAGGAACTACAGTGAAGCTTGGTGAAAAAGAGTGAGTTTATTTTTCTCCATGCACTTTTCTTTTTGTTCGAGATGGTGATTTCTTAGTCAGATTATTGTAATTGAATGCTTTGACTCTTGATCCTCGATTGATGATTTCATGCTTATACATGTACTCTTGGTGCTATTTGTACAAACGTGACAACTAAATCCAGATGAAAGTAGTCGTAACTTGAATAGATTTGCTCTACTTGTGTGATATTCAATGTGGGAAGTCTATATGATGGTAACATTGGTAAGAATGTGTATTGAAGGGAATGTATTTCTTGTTGTATCCAAGTGTGTGTCTATGATCCATCTGCACTAGGAATAAAATATTGTAATCTTTAAAGTTGCTGATTAAAGGTCCTATATGAAAAAAATAAAAAAGATTTATGGCATTTGTTTGAATGCTTAAGCAGCTAAGCAAGTATTTCGTGGAAAAGAGTATAGTACCTGCTTTTAGTGCATATGGGGTTTAGTACTCCGTAGTATTTTAAGTTAGTCCATATACTATGAGTAATTAAGTTTTTGATAGAAGTAATGTAATTATCATATCATATCTACCCACTATGCTGATTTCCAGATCCCAATTCTTTTTTAAAATGAGAACATTGGGTTTCAAAAGTTTATAACTAGCATCAAGGCATCAGCAAGCTCTGCTTGACTTGAATAGAACATCACCAAAAGTGTTTAAACTTTTAACGTGTTAATGACCTTTGAAGATATTTAAGCTGTTGCCTTTTCTTTTCTTTCTATTTTGATGGGAGTGGGGAATTATATCAAGCAATGTGAACTTCTGATACTGAGTATGTTGCTATATTAGGGACCTACTTATTAATATAAAATGTTAATGGGAATTCTCTCTGTATACACCCTCTGGTTCCCCCCCACCCCCCCCCCCCCCCACCCCTTCCCCCAAAAAAGAATAGAGGGAGGATACTAGGAGTCTAGAGTTCGTTAAACTAGGGCAAAGGTAACAAAGTGTTGCTACCTTAGCTGGAGGATAAACCAGTTACTAAGATAAAGTTGTCATGATGTGATTGATGCATACATCAGGATTTTTGGTTGGGAAAACTTGAAGATTGAGAGTCTTAAAAGCATGCATATCATGCTAGATGCTCATGTTCATTGTTCCTCATTGCAGAATTCATTTCCTTTTCTTGTTATCTGTCAAGTTTTTTGGAAGAAAAATAAACCAATATTATTTATTGTAGTGGTATTATTCTTCTGTTGCATTTTTTATTTTCATTCAGCCATCGTTTACATAGGTGAGATTTGAAACACTTGCGTGTATTAATATGAACTTTTCTGTTTTGGGGCATCAAGAAAAGATAGTTTTGACCTTTAGTAATAAAAAGATGGACTTATAATACGTGACACAGAGCTGGAGTTTGGACTTGTAGAGGTTGTGGGTTGAGATGTTTTCTGCATAGTTAGAAGCTCCGATAATGTAATGTGCTCTCTCTAGTAGGCTATTAACTTGTGTCAATAAGAACCTTGCCCTTAGGTGTGTTCTAGCATAGTTTATGATGTAGCATAGTTTATCAGGCATGAATTGTGTTTTGTAATTTGTATGGCACTGTATGGCATTGTATGATGTAGCATTGTATGGCACTGGCCTATACAATGAAGCATTCAGTAATATATTTTGCTGTGTTTTATGTTCCATTATCTCCTCATTAACTGAATTTAGTTGTTTTGAAAATATAGTGCTTTATTTTCTGAGCTCATACATTTACCCACTTCTCATCTCTTTTACGACTCTGCATCATTCGTGGCAAATTACTTATCTTGATTTTGATTCTAAAATATGTATAGTATACTCCAAAATGCATCTAAGTTATGCCTGATTTTCTTCTAACTAGTCAGTAGTCACCATTGTTGGAAATGTATCCTGATGATGTTCTATGTAATGCAGGTATCACTTGTACCGAGATGAAGATATAATGGGAACACTCCATGACTGATTTTAGTGTCATTTCCTGGCTTGATCAAGTACACCCTATGATTGTTATCTTAGGAAAATTTAAATTTTGCACATTGTTAATGAAGCAGCTATCTTGGAATTGATATTCAAGATGGTAAAATGTGATAGAATGCCATTTTATCCTTTTGCGGATTGACCAATGTTTTTTACTTGAATGTGAAACTGTATTATGGATTCAAAATATTATGTTTCTTCTTTCAAGTACAACTTTTCTTACTTTTTTCAAATTCTTTGGCCATATTGTTTCTCTGAACTCAAATTTTTGATGGATTTTCGCATATCTAAAACATTGTACTTAAGTTGTGTACAAGCCATGTAGGGTGAACCACGACACATCTCCTGAAATTCGTTGTTCCTTACCTTTGTAAGAAACACATACGTCGAAACATTTCTGAATCAGGAATAATTTGGTGCAGTGAAAGCAGATTGTATATCAGATTTTTATTTCATGGACTTGGTTTCACCATCTTAAATTGTTTAGCTTATAAAGTCGAAGATTTGGTTGATCTTGGTTTTGTTCAGTTGAATGCTATCACAATACACAACATATGCTAATAGCAAAAAATAGTTTCTGATATAGTCGTTATTCGTTAATCACTGAAATTTCTTGCAATGAGTAAATTAGCAATGAACTCTTGTATTATTGACTTAATGTACGTAATTGATTATGACCAAATCAATCCATGCGGTTTCTGAAATTTCTGTTATGAGATATGGCCGAATCAAATTTAGTGATTATAATGTTTGGTCCATTAGATTATTGAGCAAGTGAGACATCTGGTAGTGGCTTCCCGTCCAGGAAGGAGCGGAAGAGCACGAGAGATCGAGCGGGTTGCGAAAATGGTACTTCGTGGGCAGCTCCTCTTACAGTTGCATATGCAAGAATGTCACCATACACTTGCGTCCATCCACCAACCTGCCAAAATTAAGATGTTAGTTCTTATCCTCCTCTTTTTACTTCAATAATAGGCGTAATAAACGCTTGAATTTGGTCACCTTAATGGCATGTCATAACTGGAGTTTGTTGGGTTTTTTTTTTTTTTTTTTTTTTTTTTTTTTTTTTTTTTTTTTTTTTTCCGGTTTACGTGCAACGTGATTTTTAATTCTATAAAATGGCATGATCATACAAAAATATGAGAAATCGACCTGTCTATTCGCTAGCCAAGTTCTATAAGGAACCGTAGTGTTTAGTCCCAACTCCTTTGCCAATCCGTTTACAAGCGTTCTAGTTCCAATGAATGGTATTACTGAATCTTGATCACCACTGCACAAATAGAATTAAAATAATCAAATGGAATGATATTTTGAAGTTAAATTAAGTCCATGAATATCCACAATAATTGATCACATGTAAATAAAAAAACATAGAGCATTCACACACTAGTAAATTACTTGTATAAACTAGGAATATTTGATCTACTATGTATAATTAGTGGCTATTGCTCCTTCTTAATTTCTGTGGGTACACTCCAAAAAAAACAAGGTATTTGTTTTTTTTTTTTGGTGGAAAAAAACAAGGTATTTGTAACAGTAGAAAGTCATTATCCAAGGTTGAAAGTTTGTTATTTGGCTTGTATATCTAAGACAGCACACTTAAGACTTACTCTGTAGTTTATAAACTTACAATTACATGAACATGTGATTAATGTGAGAATTGTAAACAAGGTAGAGGTTAATATTGAGAGAAAATTACCCTAGCATAACCTTAGTACTACATATAATTTACCCTTTTAAAGAAAAAAAATATATCAAACTCTGCCAAGTAATTAGTAAAATTACCTGTAAACCAAAACTCTTACGCCACTTTTAGTGAATGTACCAAGTAGTGGAAGAGTAGGAACCTCCAAATCGTCCATGTCATAGTTGAGCACACTATACCATTGTTAACAAAACATCCATTGTTAAAATATAATGGTAGAAAATTAACCAATTAACAATACTAGAGTATAAGCTATATGAAATTATATCTACATGTATATCCAAGAATTAGTATTGTAGAGTAATATAAGCTCCTATTTTCCCCATGAGTGGATGTAGCTTACTTTAAATGAATGAACCGCTACAAATTCTTGTACGTGTTTTTACTTTGTATTGTCATTCAAATCAAGATTAAAGCCCAAAAGTCACATATTTACGAATTCAATTAAGTTCGAACAAGATAAGTTGAATGGAGTACTATTTATGTCTATGCTTAATTATTGTATCATCAATACATTACGGTTTATCACATTAATATGGCAAAATAATGGTGGCATACATAGGACGTGAGATATGATATGATGCTCACGGGTCAAATAAAACAAAGACCAACTCATGCTGACTCTAACCCCCATGCTGCCGCTGCTAGGCTGATATAAGTTTTTGGTTTTATTCTACTAAAGAATGTTTTTACAAATTTTTTATAATTTGGACCACAAAAAACTTTATAATTAAATAATATTCGATGTTTTTACTATTTTGTGTGAATAAAAACAAAAATAATAGTACAACTTACAATTTTAAGTTTCCTTTAAATTAAGATATAAAAACCGCATAAACAACATTATCTTTCATAAAAATATACTTTTATGGCTAATGAAATAGTAAGAAATAATAGTGTAAAATCTAATTATAAAAAACTAATAACTCAATTATTTTAAACTTTAATTTAATTGATCTTTGACGTGGTACCTACAACCAACGTGATAAAAAGGTCATGACAAAAAAGTCACGAGTTATTGCAACCTACTCTCTTATTATAAATTATCAAAGTTTTATTGCAAAAAACTATATTGTATGCATTTAAATGGAATATCTCTAATTCTACATATTATCGTCTCACATGGGACTTTACCTATATATCCTATATTCTAATCTAATCAATGCATTATCAATGTGCCATGTTTATATAAGTTACCAAATTAGTATTGTATGTTATAACAGAATCTTTGGTGCAAAAATAGAATATTTAAGAAGAATCTTACTTGCTACAAGTAGCCCATTGAGTTACCCCAATAAGGTTTGCATGCATAGCCTTTTGTACATCTTTTCTATTCAAGTATTGGGTTGTTTCATCATCTAGACAAACATCAATTTTCTCTTCATCCTGCCATTAAATTAATCAATACGTCAAGCATCTCTGTTGAATACACGACACTCAGACATTGATATAACACATTAACACTTAGCCAGTTCATTTTAAGACAATATCATGCAATATTTTCATTAATAATCGACGTGCAATCGTTTATGACAATTCTAGCCCGAGTCAAAAAGTAACGCAATGACAAGAACCAATAACGAATAAACTGAATGAAAAATTTGTACTTGGTATTACCATCATTTGGCGTAGTACATGAGCTTGTTGAGAAACCGAATGTAAACAAACGTCGAGAGTGACATCGTACGAGTCAATAAACTTGCCAATCTCACTATTAATTTGTGAAATAACTAATTTGCAAGGTGCTGAGAGAAATCCTTTCTGTGCTTGTCTCCTAATTTGTGAATAATTGCATATCTTTTCAGAAAGCTCATATGTTGCATCTGAAATAAGTCCATGAGACCAAATATATTCTGTCCTTGAATTGAAATCAGTGTTAAACTCCACCAGTGGATTTCCTATCTGCATTTTCAGGAGCATAATAATCATATAAATCACTAAAATAAAGTTAATTAATCACATAATTAAATTGTTAATCATTGATTATCACTTACAGCAACTCCCTTCAAATTTGACTTGAGGCTTGATTTTAGAATGAGGTTAGCAAGTTGTGGAACATAATGTCCTGTTTTTAAACAGGGGAAACAAACTTTCAACATATTAATTACCAGTAAGTGTCGTCTAATAATTGTCCCATATACTATTTTGGTCGTAACAATAAAAAAAGAAAGATTGTGGAATAAGAATCTGACCTCCATAGCTCTCTCCAGTGAGGAACAAATCTCTATTCTTGTATTCTGGGTATTTTGCTAGGAATTTTTGAAGAAATACCAGATTATCTCTTGCTGAACATATAGTTTAATCATTTATTTTATCAGTAAATAATACAAGTAATTAATAGATAAAATATATTTGTACAAATCATATAATGAAATGAAATTAATTAGTAAAATAAAAGACCTGTCATTTCATCATTAACTCCATTATAAAATGATTTATTAGCAGAATAAGAAAACCCAACTCCTGCTGGTGATTCAAGATACAACATATTTGCTTCTGCAATCAAATCAAATCAATAACAATGATATTAACCAACTAATTAGTTATATACTAATTACATTTTTGAATTAGCTAATTTTTTCATAAAATTAAATTATAAAGACTTTACCTTTATTCCAACTAAACTCATTCTTAATCAATCCATTTCCACTTGGTCTAAAGGGTCCATGTTCACTAAATGCTCCTGCTCCAATAGATGAGCAACCTGGCCCTGTAAAAATATACAAAAATTAAATATATAATACCAAAAAAAAAAAAAAAAAAAAAAAAAAGAAGTGGGAAAAAATAATAACCTCCATTGAGCCAAAGAACAAGGGGTTTGGAAGAAGGGTTAGTTTCAGCTTGAACTAAATAGTAAAAAAGATTTCTTTTTTCGACTTCGTTGACAGTAATATAGCCAGAAAATTGCTGGAAATTAACAGGGGGTTGCCCTGGTAAGCTTGTGATTTTATCATCTTGAGATGATAATGGAGTTACTTGTAATGCAAAGTTGCATAATAAAAGGGTTACAAAAGTTATGAGTTTTGTGAAAGACGACATTTTGCTACACTTAAGAAAGAAACTAATGAAAAAAAAAACAAGTAATATAGACATATAGTAATCAAATGAAAGTTTGGTTGATTTTTATAGTGTGGTTCTTAGTATTCATTCTAGTGTGTGAACTCAACACGTATCTACATGTCATTTGAGGGCCATGAAGAACTTTCCAATTTCAATAATAATTAAGTTGATTGAAACATTATTGAAAGGCTTGTATAAGTGTAGCCTAGTGTTTGTTTAGGACAAACTTTGTTTTCCTTTTTTTTTTTTTTTTTTTTTTTTTTTAAGGGACAAACTTTGTTTTCAAATTGCATCATTTATTGGACTATTGATTGGAAAAGACTAGGGAGTCAACTTGATAACACTAGTACAAATTTGTTGAATATTAAACTATGAAGTGTTACGCTTTTCCTAACAACAAAAAGATATAATGGTCTTTTTAAATAAGGGTAATGCTATATGCAACCCTTAAGACTGCATATAAGCGTT